CTAAAAAGATGCTAAAATGTGCCTAAAAAGATGCTAAAATGAGGCTAAAATGTGTCTAATAAGATGCTAAAATGTGCCTAAAATGTGGCTAAAAAGATGCTAAAATGAGGCTAAAATGATAAAATGTGTCTAAAATGTGCCTAAAGTGAGGCTAAAAAATGAGGCTAAAATGTGCCTAAAAAGATGCTAAAATGTGTCTAAAAAGATGCTAAAATGTGCCTAAAGTGAGGCTAAAAAATGAGGCTAAAATGTGTCTAAAAAGATGCTAAAATGTGGCTAAAAAGATGCTAAAATGAGGCTAAAATGATCAAATGTGTCTAAAATGTGCCTAAAATGAGGCCAGATTAACGCTAGATTGTGCCAGATGGAGGCCGTTACACCGTTTCAGGTGTGCGCACTTTCATGAAGAGTTAAAATGGGTTTTTGTGCTCGTTGATTTCAGGAACCCCTTTGTGGTCCGACTGATCCAGATCTGAGCTCAGACTGAGGTTGGCGACCTCTTGTTCTCATCAGGTTGAGCACAAAGTCTTCTTGAGCTGAAGACGAAATCTGGATCTGAACCAGATCTCTCGACTTCCCCGGCTCTGATCAGCCCGGGAGGGGAAGTTTCTCTCAGCTGTTTGTATTTTTAGCTCCGCTGGCATTAAATTCGATCATCAGCACTATTTTTCCATGACAGCCAACAGTCTCTCAGCTGCTTCCTTTCTCTCATCCCGTCTCGTCTGGCAGCTCTCGCGGTTTTGACTCGGTCCGCAGGGCGAGCCTCAGGTCTTTCGAAGTGGGTCAGCGGTGGCGTGTCCTGTTTGCTGCCCCTGTGGTTTTCCATGAAGGAAGTTGCCACTTCTCTTTGTGGTTTCACTCGATTTGGGCCTCCATCCTCGTGGTGTATTATTTATATATTTCTTCAACATTATATTCTGGGAGCGCCACAATTGGGTTACTCTTCACAAACTATCCTTATTATAACCAGAGAAATGTCACTTCCTGTGAAAATGCAGCGTGAACGCTTATTGCTGAATATTTTTTGCTGAAACCAGTTGAAAAGGTTCATCACTGAACTGTTAATAAAAGTTGAATTTGAACAGCTGACATTTGATTAAAGCAGGGAAATAAAAGCTGAAAGCAGCAGAAAAACAGCTGAAATGTGTAGAAAATAATAAGCTAATAATAGAATAGTAAGAATAAGTTAAAATAGGCAGAGAGGCTAAATAGAATACAAAACATTGGAAATGTGCAGAAAAGCAGCTGAAAAAGCTAATAAAAGCTGAAATGAGCAGGAAAATGCTGAAAGCAGCAGAACAAGAACAAAAGCTGAAATGAGAAGTAAAAGGTTGAAAACAGCTAAAAAAATGTGAAGGATGTGGAGATCAAAATAGTCCATGCTCAATAGTCCAGGTATACAATCCAACAATTTTCAGTCAGGTCACCTGGACAGTTTCTTTTTTTGGCTGAAATGTTTCACCTTCCATCCGGAAGACTGATGAAGCCTTCTGGATGGAAGGTGAAACGTTTCAGCAAAAAAAGAAACTGTCCAGGTGACCTGACTGAAAATTGTTGGAAGGATGTGGAGCGTTCCATTCATTTTCAATGTAATAAACATGGCCGACAAAGTTCAAAAAGTTAAAATTGCACAATAATCTGCTAACAGCTAAAAGGGAACTAATTTTTAGTTTAGCAGATTAGCACATTAGATAACTTTGGAAACCGTTAGCGGAGTTAGCCGCCGCTAAATTAGATTTCTCAAACTTTAAGTCCACTAACAAAAATCCTGAACATGTTCCCGTCTGTTGTGGGCGTCTCGAAGAGTCCGTTAGGCACGCGATTAGCTGACCACGTGCACACGTGACAAGATGTGATTGGTCGACGCTGCTTCAACTGGTAGGAGACGAAGACGTGTGACACTGAGTGAGTGACAGGCGTCTTAGCGGTTAGCAGTTTAGCGTTAGTGAAGGAATTGCTCAAATAGCAAAAAAAAATTGCTTATGATGCTTTATAAGTCTTTACACTTTAAACGCAGAAGTAGTAAAATGTCTGTATGTTTTTTTATATTTTGTTATTGAAATAATTAAATCCTAAGTTTGTTAAATCCATGGAAACATGAACTAAAAAGTCTCAGTTTCTTATTTAAATCTTTGTCTGCAAAGACTTCACTTTGATCTAAACACAGATACCAGTATATATATATATATATATATATATATATATATATATATATATATATACACACACACACACACTGGTATTGGTGCACAGGATCAGCTGCTTTGTTTGGGATCATGGTCCTGCTGGACCCAGTTTGGTTCAAGTGTCAGCTGTTGGACACATGGACTCACATCTGACTCTAGAACCTTTGGTCTTCAGTGGAGTTCCTGGTCCACTCAGTAACTGACATGAGCCCAAACCATCAGAACTCCACCACCGTGCTGACAGCTGGGAGGAGTGGTTTGCTGCAGTGCATTCTGGGTAAACAGTTGTCCTTTGGTCGGGCTCTGTCCCAGAAGTCTTGTTGTTTCTTTCAAATGAAATGTTCCCATCCTAAACTGGGGCTGCCATGCTGTTTTTAGAGAGAAGAGGCTTTCTCCTGCAGTCATGACCTTTGACCTGCTGACTGTGGCCCGGAGAACCCAAGATGGCGCTCATTGCCATGAGTTTGGGGCTGGCTGTGTTAGCAAAAAATTAATATTGCTATATTAGAGGTTTATTGTGATAGTCAGGATGGGAGTCAGCTGTGAAGCAATAGAAGTGCCCCGGGAATACCTGAACTCCCAGTAAATTAAATACATATGCAAAGAAATAGCTAATAAAATTTTTAATTGACATTTGTAGTACATTGCATGAGAGAAACCCCAAAGTATATCTAATATGCTCTATTCATCGCCCGGACCTCCTCCACGCCTGGGAAGATCGTCAACAGTCTTAAATGATTTCCGCATGTGAACAGCATCAAGTGTTTCTTCTTGAAGGTCATTGCTGATGTCATTCCACCTTGGTGTTGTGAAGACACACACCTGTACGATTCAGAGCAGAAACACTGCTGCTTTTCAAGAGGTGGTGCCACTGATGACAGCCAGTTAGTACCGAGGCTTAGTTTGTTTAGCTTTTGGTAACAACATAAAAACACGATGTTATACATTTTTTGTTGTTTATCCGAGGGTTCATTTAGAGACCTGAAACATATTTTATTCCAATATTCTGATACAAAAAGGAGGCTGAAATTAAAAACTGTTCAAGCCACAGGACAGTTTTGGTCACGTCAGATACCCGACGTCTTTTCTTGGTTGCAGGTTCATCAACGAGATTCTGATCTCATCTGACGTTTTGTTGCTTTTTCAACAGCCAAATCAAAGAAGACAAATCCAGCATGGAACTCTGTACTAAATGGAGTCATTTAAAGCAAAATGAGAAGCAATAAAAATATTTAACATTTAACATATCGTCTTGGGGGCCAAATAAGATGTTAATGAGGGCCAGATTTGGCCCGCGGGCCTTCAGTTTGACACGAGACCCACCTAATTAATCTGTTTGAGTCGTGGTAAAAAAAAGTCTTTAAAATTTCCCTGAAAACAACCAAAGCAAAACGATACAACAAACTTTAGAGTTTTAGCTTCTCATTTTATAGCCGGTGGTGCAACTGGTTTTAAAAAAAGTCATATGGTAACTGTTTTCTTTTGTTAAGCCTTCTCGTGTATCTGCATTAAAAAAAAAAGTTAAAAAAAAATGGACGTTAACCAGAAAGTTAGCGTGCAAAAGATTTACAGCGAGGACGATGGATGAAAAGCAGGAACGCGATTCAAGCCAACACATCATCTCCTCTGCCAGAAGATCCATAATAATAGAGATAAAACTATTTATGACAGAGATTTAAAGTGAAATATTATAAACCACTGCAGCCGTTTTATTGCTCCAAAAGAATTCCAGTCGGATCGGTCCCGTTTGTTCACCTCGTTTGGATCAAACTGCTTTTCACTGAACTTAA